TAATGCGCATCTTGTCAGAAAGCCGGTTCTGTAATCAGCGGTAAATCTCCATCACCTGCGTGCTTTCACATTGAGCAGCATTAACTACACAGAGCCATTGTTCACTGACGAGCTGCGCAAAACCACGTTCATATTCGCGCGTTTTTTTGCGCAGCTCGTCAGTGAACAACGGCTCTGTGTAGTAAATGCTGCTCAATGTGAAAGCACGCAGGTGATGGAGATTTACCGCTGATTACAGAACCGGCTTTCTGACAAGATGCGCATTAAATATCGCATGCGATTTATCGTGCAGCCCTAGTAGAAATATGTAGACAACGAAATATTCCTTCCTAGCAGCAAGTAATAATTTAAACAACAGATCTCCAAACAAAGTATTAAGCAAAACACTCACGCGTGGCCGTCCGTCTCTTCTGTTGACTAATCGCTTCTCCCTCTTCTGATAACCACTTAAGAGCAGCAGATAATGATGTGCTAGTCACTTTAGTCTAAACACAACCAACTACACACTTCTGATACTTAAAGGTGCTAGATTAGTAAGACAGTACCTTTGGTCTTGGTGGATCCAGATGTGCAGCTATTAGGGGACATGTGGCAACTGGACAGACTGCAAGGGCGGTTGCTGGCAGGAGCACAAGTGATTACCGATGGACGATTCTGATATAAAAGGAATGACTTATTTTTTTCTGTTTGTAAATATGACAATTCTCTATGCCAATGCATTGGAACACATTTAGCAACACATCCTGTATGAGTGAAACCACTGACGTAGAAACAAAGTTTAAAAAAAAAATGCACATGAATGCCTCAGATCGTACAAGTCTGACCTGCTGGTGACCTGTGCTGGATCCAGGAATTAGAAGCATGCTCCTAGTAGGATCCAAGCTGTGTTTGGTCATCTCAAGGGGTTGATCCACCGCAAAAATGGGGAAAGGTGCAAATACATGATGGTTATGAAGACCACTCAGAGATGTGTGACTATAATTCCATAACTCCTGATTTCCAGTGTCTCCATTCGAATTTCTCCTAAAAAATAACACAAGAAAAAAAACATGCAAAAATACATGTGGTGCAAAAAACTGATCGAACAATTCAAAACATGGGAAGCTTTGCTGCACTGCAAATAACAGAACTGTAGCAGACATACAGATGTGATCCTAATAAGCATCTCATTTTGTTCATCTGTTCTTCATCAGAGTCTTTTTGATGATTCAGAGAGTTTTCATGGTGTTTTCTCTTGGTTGGGCTCATGGGAGTACACCCTGAGTTAAGCACAGGAACACTAGATGCTCCAGAATCATCTGTCAAGAAATCAGATTCAGATTAAGGCACAGTCATTGCTAATAATGCTTAACAAAGACAAAAGTTCATTATCATGCTTGGATACACATCAGACTAGAATATCAGTGAAAGCTTTCACACTCGAACACTAGCTCTCTCTATTCTATCTACATTTTATTCTTCTTATTTATTATACAAAAAACCTTGCTCTGCATTATACTAACCGGGACTTGTCACAGCACTTATATATCATTGCTCTTTTGTTGGTTTGATTGCTTCTATTGTCCTCATTTGTAAGTCACTTAAATAAAAGCATCTG